CAAAGGGCCCTAAGTACCTATATAGTAGAATGTGGGGTTCCAAAATAGGAATTACTTTTATGACTTGGGCAAGTATCCTACCATATAAGTACTTAGGATCCTCTGACAAAGCTTGGGGTCTCCATGCAGGGATGCATTTATCTTCGTCTGCCTCTGTGAGAACATGCTGGATCTACGGCGCAGGTGTCTTTTGCCGGAATGTGTCGGACACACCAAGGCCAAACCCGAAGCTCCCAAAGCTCTAAATTGCAAAACTCAAATCCAGAAAAGCACCCCAAAAAAGCTTCCAAAATCTGAAATAACACAAGACCCCGAATCAAAACCTCCCTAAGCCCTAAGCCCCAAGCAAGAAATCCTAGGCCCCGGATGCCGAACACTGCTAGTATAGGGGCCTTTTGGAGCGACACTGCCGTACTTTACAGCGACGGCTGCCACCATTCCGGTGGTGGCGATGCTGCGGCCCAGCAGCACTACGCGTTGCAGCCGCAGCTGTCTTCGTAGTAGTGCTTGCTTGAAGCATGGCCTCGGCACCGTCACGAAGGTGAGGATCATTTCCATCATCTCCGCGGCTGGCACAGATCCTCGAACATGGCTTTATTTAGATCAACACGCAGGCCGCAGCCTCAAGCAGCATCCACTGGCCGCAGGGCCATGCCAAGGAGAGCCCAGCCACAGATTCGGGCGCCAACGTCGGCACAGCGCCAGGCCAGTCGGACAGGTGCAGGGGACACACACTTCTCTGTCTTCTCTGTCCGCGCAAAGATATCGGGAGCCCTTGTTGGCGGCATCCCGATGCGGCGAACAAGGGCTACCGATATCTTGGCGCCAACCGACATTGAACATAGCGATATGGCCAGAGATATCAGGACAATCGTCAAGTGGCCTTTTCGCGGTGCCCCTTGCACGGCGAGCGCATATGCCTGCAGACTTTCGGCAAGATTCGCCAGCACTTTCTCGCGCACCAGCTCTCTCGTCTCCTCCCCCATGCATGAAGCTGCTGTGCGCCACTTTGAACGGCTGCACTTGCAAGATGTAGAGCAGGAGCTCCCACAGGCCCGGCCGTGGCTCCCCTCTCTCGGTGCGAAGCTGGCTGAAGTTCACTTCGTCTTCGAAATCTGCCAGTTTCCAGCTATTTCGCGCCTGGAGGAAGCCGACAACGCCAGATCCGAGCGTGATGGCGACGAGGAGCACTCCAAAGACAAAAAGCCGTTGCAGCAGTATGTCACAGCTACATAGATGTCTGAGAAAACATCGGCGACCCACAGAACTCCAGTCAATGCGATGCGAGCTTTGGTTTGCCACTTTTCTAAGATTTCTTTGAAGGATGCATCCGGGACCAGCGCAGGATCACTGCATGCAAGCAGCTCGTACTCCCATTCTCGCACCTTGGGGCCACTCAGGTATGCATGTGCTTCAAATGCCATCGCTGCAACGACCGCTATGCACACGAGACCACCAGCTCCGACCCAAGGTGTCTCCACAAAGGCCCACCTGGCGCCTTCGAGGATCGGCACCAGGTACAAAACCGCAAGGTGCAGACACCGCATAATCTCAGTCAGAAGTCAGAAGGCATGGCCGCAGCTTCTCAAGCAGGGAGTTGGACGTACCCGACTCGCGGAGACCAAAAGATCTCCGGTGCTCCGGGGGAGGGAACTGTTCCAGCGGATACCATGCAGTGCTCCAGAGCCAGAGGAAAGCAGCAGCTGCCATCACGGTGACCTTCTGCCCTGCCATTGCGGCAAGGGCAGCTTCGAGCTTCAGTCACGGCTCAACACTTTTGGAACAAAGCCCGTAATCGTGGCACTACCGGGAGTAAACGCAGCAGGCCATAACTTTATGGCTGATAGCCTGTTGGTATGCGTGGACATCCAAGCCTCTGCTGGCAATATGTGCGAGATTCACTTTGTTCTGACCTCCGAACCCTCTACGCTCAAAACTTCTCAGACACCGCTTAGCCTTGGTCGTAAAGCCCTTCCTACCTTTAAACTCGAAAGCTGATCTGCGAACTTTGCGCAGATTGTGGGCAAGGCCTCGAGCCCTAGCCGCTTTGCAGGTCCGAACTCAGCATACCCCAAACATACCCCAAAATAATTAGAGTAGGGTCTTGGGGCCCATTATATATAGTAAAAGTATATAAGGAACCCCCTAAAACCCTAAAGCCTAAACTGCCAGTCTCGCGGCATCGGCTTCTCCCCGGAGGCCAGCGCATACGCCAGCGCCAGGACGGCCCCCCAGGGATAGGTTCTGGGCGCCGCGGTTAGTGTTTAGGGGTTTAGGGGTTTAGGGTTTAGGGGTTTAGGGGTTTATAGGGGTTAGGGTTTAGGCGGTTTAGGGTATAGGGCTTAAGGGCGCCATGGTTACATACGGCTGATGAGATAAATCCTGCATTGCCCATACTAAGGAATATACCATAATTCCCATAGTTTGGGGTCCTTAAGGTAATGCAGCATTTGTATCGTCAACAGTATTTGGGTTATCGGGTTCAGGGTTTACGATTTTGGGGTGCAGGGTTGTTTATGGCTTTGGGGTTGAGGGCTTTGGTTTTGGTGTTTTGGTTTCTCGCGTTCAGGGCTTTATAGGGTTTATAATGGGTTTTGGTTTCAGGTTTAGGATTCAGGTTTTTTAGGATCTAGGGTTCAGCATTCGCGGTCTACCTATAGTCTCCGTTGTAGTTCTTTTTTTTTCGGCTTAACCAATTCTATATTAAGGATCCTAAAAGGTAACCCCCAAAAGGAACTGCAATGGAGACTTTAGGTAGATCTACGAAAGGTTCAGAATTAAGCTTTGAGGCTCGGACAGTAGGGGCCTCACTACTTAGAGGTTGTTTCGACGGTTTAGGGCTTCATGAACCCTCAACCCTCAACCCTAAACCCGTAACCCCTAAACCCCTAAACCCTAAACCCCTAAACCCATAACCGTCCAAACCCTAAACCCTAAACCTAAACCTTAAACCCCTAAACCCCTAAACCCTAAACCCCTAACCCCTAAACCCATAAAGCCCAAACCCTACACCCATAACCCCTTAAACCCTAAACGCCTAAACCCCTAAACCCTAAACCCCTAAACCCCTAAACCCTAAATCCCTAACCCCCAAAACCCCTAAACCCTTAACCCCTAAAACCTTAAACCCCTAA